AGTTTTGAAGTCGAAACATCGAACGCATGACCAGGCCGTGAGGTCGTGAGGTCGGGCGTTGAGTGGATCGTGTATCGCGAGACCGGGCCTAAAGGCCAAGTGGTCGAGTGATTAAGATCAGTGTGTGCAAATTGAAAGGCAAGGAAATAAAAGACGAGCAGCACGAGATGGAGCAAAAATAGAACTTTATTAACAAACAGAAGTTGCCCGGTATAAATCGGGACCGGGCTCCCGACTAAGGTCTCTTACAAAAAGAAGGAAAGAAGCCTAAATCTACTTCTTCGCCTCCTGAGCGCCGGCGGTCGCCTCTTTCCCGCTCGGGGCAGCCGCCGACGAAGCCCCAGGCTCGGGTACCTTGGCTTTCGGGGTCGGGGTAAAGGGGGAGGGACCGGGATCTGCCACGTCCGGGGGCAAGGCCGACAAGACCAGTCGGAGATCATCGGCGTCGAGGGCCTCCTCCAACCGCTTGCGGGTGCGCTCGAGCATTTTCTGCTTCCCGGCCGTGAAGGCCCATTTCCCGAACGAGACGATCAACTCGTTCCCGACCTCGTCTCCTCGGGCTGCGGTCAGGAAGGCCGTGCCCAGCTCCTTGTTCTTGAAGGCCGCCCGCACCAGATCGCTCGGGTTCTCGAGCTGCGCCTTCAGCTCCCGGGCCTCCCCAATCGCCCGGCTGGCGACCTTCTCGGCCAGCACCCGTTCCTCGTCACCCTTCTTCAGGGCCTTCTGCGTTTTCTCCAGCTCGGCCTGGAGTTCCTTGATCTCCTTTAGACGACGAGCAGCCGTCTTCTTGTGGTGATCGGCTTCCTCGGCCAGCAAAGCTTGACCCTGAAGAAGTTGGGTCGCCCGGGAGATCTGCAACACAAAGAAGATAATCAAAGTTAGCCCGATCAACGATATTTGGGCAAAGAAAGATTAAAAGCTGGGACTCACCTCGGCCAGATCGTGGCCAATCCGTTCAGCCACCTGGGTCGGGGTCATTTTCCCCAAATCCGCTCGGGCTGGCGCGGCGTTACCGATCCGTGCCAGCACGGATGTAGGCTCCCTCTCCCGCCCGGCCGAAGGGGTCGGGCTGTGCTGCTCGCGGCGGCGCTTTAGGCCGCCCGCCTCGGTCGCGCCCTGGTCGGCGACCTTCTCCTTGCCCCGGGCGACCTCCACCCGGGTAACCAGGACGTCCGGCTGCTCCACGATGAAGCCCTCGCCCGTCGACACGGTCGAGGCGCTCAGAGGTCGGGCGGATGGGATCTCCTTCTCCCCGGCCGCCTTGGTCTTGGCCTTCTTCTTCCCGCCGAGCGAGATCTTGACGGGCGGGGGAAGGGCGGTGTCTTCGTCACCAAACTCGGCCATAGCTGCAAAACAAGAGCAGAGTTAGTTTGGTCAAAAATAAAGCTAGGTCGGGAAGAACAGCTCGAGCTAAACCTTTCTTCTTTCGTTTCGAAGGCTTGGCGACCGTCACGCCCATCGGAACGGGCAGATATTTCTCCGGCAGCTCGTACGTGGGGGGCGGGAGCATGGCAGCTGCGAGACTTTCAGCCGTCCGGTAGATTGTGTATTCGTGCACCTCGCTCGAGATCCGGCTGACCGCGTCCCTCAGCGCCTGCGTCTCGGCCGGCACCACTTGTTTCCGGAAATGTGTGCTCCAGACGCGATCGACCGGGAAGATCCAGGGCTCGTACTTGAGGGAGAAAATCCTGTTTTTCCACCCCTTGTTGTTCCCGGGCAAGCCTCTGATCGAGCACATATCCGTTCGGGACTGCAGCATCAGGAACCCACCCCCGTAGCGGCCCGGGAGAACCTTGATCTGGTAAATGAAGTTAAATAACTCCATCGTGCACTCGGCCCCGTGCCGAGCGCATATCTGTGGGAAGCAGGCCAAGATCCGATGTGCGTTCGGGCAGATCTGGGCCGGGACGACTCGGTAATAGGCCAAGAAGGCATTTAGGAGGGGGGTGAAGGGAATGGCGATCGGGGCTGTCAGGGAGTCATAGTGCATCCCGATCCACTTGCCCCGATGCCTGTCAATTACATTTCCCAGCTGCCGGCTCGTGTCGAATTCTGCCCGACCCCTGAGTATTTCGGCAATCCGAGCCGCCTCGCCTTTGGACAGTAGGCTCATTTCTTGCTCGACGCTTTCGCTGTTCAGGAACTCGAGCTCGACGGCTGGTCCGGCCGGCCCGGCCGGGTCTTCTTCGGTCTGTTCCGGGGTATTTTCTCGATCACCCCCTCGAGGAGCAGCTTCCGGGTGGTCCCCAACCACCCGGGTAGGCGTTTCCCTAACGCCCTCGGTTGGAGAACCCCGCCCGCTTGACGTGGCTCTCTCTTCTTCTTCCTCGCTGGAGCTCCCCGATCCGCTCGAACTCGAGCTTGACGATCCTGAGGAGCTCGATGCATTGTCTCGCTCGGCGGCTTGCTCGGGGGCTGGCGTCGCTCGGGGACTAGCGTCCGGGGTGTAGGACATTATGTCCACCTCCTCGTCGCTGATGCGCTCGACCTCCTCGTCGTAATCAGCAATCGAGGCGTTTTGACTGTCGGAGTCCGTCATATCGATCTACCTAAAGGTCGGTCGGAGTTAGTAAGGACTTGAGACGTCCGGGACAGTTAGTTGACCTAGCAGTTCTACCTATAAATGAGTGCCTAAAGTAAAGAGGAGGGTGAGAGCTTACCGATTGAAGGAAGATTGAAGTTTGAAGCTTGAAAGTTGAAGTTTGCTTGCTCGACTGCCTTGCTAAGCTGCTCTGCTCGGGACTCTCTGAGGGTACCGACCGATGCGAAAGAGTGAGGAAAGTTCAAATGAGGGCCTCAAGGGCCTATTTATAGGAGGACATTTAGGTGGGAAATGGGCCAACTTGCCTGACACGACCCGCGCTGAATCCAAGGCGACGGATGGGATCGCCAAGGCCGGCAGAGGCCGACACGTGGCGTAAGGGGAATGACAGCTGGCCGGTCGGTCTAATGCCTGACGGTTGGGCTTCTTCATCCCGTCCCGTTTTTTCCCGACTGATCAAAAAGGCCCGGGCTGGGGGGCTCTTGGTAGGGAATATCCCGACCGACATAGCTTCACCACGACCGAGGAGTCTTTGTCTCTTCCTCCTTGTCTTTGCAGGTAACAGGTCGGGCTCCCTGAGAAGAACCCGGTCGGGAACCGACCAGGAGTTGCCCGAGCGATGCTATGAACCCCGAGCGGTGGTCCTTAGGCGAGAGAGCTGGCTAAAGACACGTGGCGGCTCTCTACGACGACAGGCAGGGCACCCGGGAGGGGGACGCGTGGAGGCTACGTGGAGAGCATGCCGAACGGCCGGAAGCTTGTCTCCGGCGTCGCGGCTATAAGTACCCACAGTAGCTACAGTGTAGAGGACTTTTGGACGATCGATAGGTTGTAACTAGAGACTCCCGACCGCAGTCAGTCGGTACTCAGTGCAACCAAGTAGATTGTACTTAGGAACTCTACCTTGATCAATAAAGAATTACTTGCTTTACTTGGTCTTGTGTTATTTATATTGCTTGCGTAGAATTAGCAGTATCAACCTGCTATCACAAGTCATTAGGGTTCAGGCCACCTTCTGACGAATTTTTCGACAAAAAAAAAAATGACATTCTTCGTGATCGGCGACCGTTTGCCGGTCGCTGGTCACTTTTGTTTGCCGAAAATTTCGTCGGTCGGTCGCCGGTAACTTTTTTTCTGTCGGAAAATTCGTCAGAAGGTGGCCTGAATCCTAATGACCTGTGATAGCAGGTCGTTAACCTGATTTTGGGCTCCATTGCACCTGAATAAATTGTTGATGGGTGTAATTGCACCTTTAAAAAGTTTAGGGGCCTGATTGACTTTTAAGCTAAAGTTCGAGAGCCTATTTGACCCTTTTCCCAAAACAATATAATCATAATTGACTAGACACCAATATAATTCTGTCTGGTATATAGTTGGGACCCGTATTTAACTAAAAAAATGACAATAAAGGAAGTACTGATTTGATTGAAAGATTGTAAAACAATATCATGGTGGAGACTATAATTTAAATTTATGTATTAGTTTTAATTTTACTACATTTGATCACTGGTTTTATTATTAAGCAATGTCGGTTGATTGTAAGGGACTTCAGGAATGTGTCTCTTCTACATGTTGAGATATTAGCGAATTATGTGACTCATGTGCTAGCTCGGACAACTGGTTCATTGTATGTCTTTGGGTCATGAATTTCTATCCCACCAGTTTGTATTTTGAATCCCGTGTCTTATCAAGAATTTTATTTTTCTCAAATGTGAAGAATTCATTTTTCATCTATGAACCAAACAGTTAATAATATTTAAAAAAAAAAAAAAAAACCTATGAACCAAACACCATAAAACAATTTTTTCTTCCCAAGAAAATATTTTCAAGGTAAAACTTTTCCATTCAATTATTTCAAATTAATTACCGAAATGGTCATGTGACTATAATGAAATTACCAATTTGGTCATTGACTTTTTTTTGACCAATTAAGTTCTTCAACTTTTAAAATCTTAATTAATTTGGTCATCCTTTTGTTTTGTCGTTAGACATCTATTAACTTATGACTAAATTGATAATTTCGTTATAGTCAAGGGACCATTTTGAAAATTAACTTTTCGAAAGAAATGGTACATGCGATGATCGAATGGTCCCTTGACTATAGTAAAATTATTAATTTGATCCCAAGTTAATTGCTAATGACAAAACAAATGGAGGATCAAATTGATTGAGGAGTTTTTTTTATTCCGAGTTAATAGATGACTAATGACAATATAAACGGAGGACCAAATTAATTGAGGAGTTTTTTTACAATGTAGTATATGAGCCAAAGGTTGAACCCACAATCTCTCCTATAAGGGAACAATTTGGTGTCATTGAATCACACGTTATTATAATATTGTAAACTAAGGGTCTTAATTGATCAAAAACATAATCAGTGACCAAATTCATAATTTTACTATAATCAATGAACCATTTCGATAATTAACTCAATTATTCCCGTTGCCTTCCGCAGCTTTCCCTAATTCTCCATTTCCCCCCTAAAATTTCTAAATCCCTAAAATAATTCATAACAATCCAACGCCGTCCCTTCACCGCTTCACGCACATCGCAAAATTGCACCTGTGCTCGACGCTCACTGTCTTTCCTCGACGTCGTCTGGGCAGAACCGGCGACCCACAGTCACGTCTGGGCAGGTAAATCAGTTTTATTTCTTTCCTTTTAATTTAATTATTTTTGTTTAATTTCTTTGTTTCTAAGTGATATAAAATATCTTGTCAAAAAAAAAGTGATATAAAATATAAATGATTAAATCATGTCACATTGTATGTTGAATTGTTGATTTCTTATTTTCTTGGGAAATTATCCAGTTGCTTTCATATTCTTATTATCACTGTCTAGATAAGGTTTTGCTTAGGTTGAGATATTTTAGCTGTCTTTAATGTTTATGATACTGTTGCTTTACTTGTATGTTGTATGTCTATGAGCCATGTTTGGAATTGGGAGTTTTGGATTTTAATTTATGGTATTCTTTTGTGTGGGTGAACTTGAATTGGGTGATAAAGATTGCAGCTTTTTTGCTCAAAAGTCTGATGTGTAGAAAATTTTGTGCAGTGATTGTTCTGTGTTGTGGTTTCCTGCTGAGGATAAGTCTGAATCTTTAAGTTGATATTCTAGAGATTTGTAGGGATTTCAAGTGAATTGTATAAAAGTGTAAAACTCCAAACATGTAGGCAGTGCCAAGTTATTGTTCGCTAAGGGCGTTCGGGTGCTGATAGAAGCTTCGGTTCCCTGCAAAAATGGTTAAAAAATGGTTCGAAACATTCAGCCCAGCTTCACTTAGGAAATCAGCTCACATGTGGTTACAAATCATGTACAAAACGGGTGGAGGGCGACCCAAGAAGAAGATTTACCATAGAGTTCATGAGCTGGACCGAGTTATGGACCTTCAGAAGAAGCCGTCATTGATTCTACAGCTAAAATCCATAATTGAGTCTCAAAGAAACCGGAGCCTCCTTCTGAGAGACCTCGAGAAGGAAGTTGGGTTTGTTCAGAAATGGAATTTCATGAATGTGATTGAGAAGTACCCTACAATTTTCTATGTCACTTGTGGTGGTGGAACACCCCCGGCGGTTATGCTGAGTAGAAAAGCTAAAGAAATTGCAGTGGAAGAAGGTGAAGTGAGAGCGGAAATGGAGCCCGTTCTGATTAAGAATCTACGCAAGTTGTTAATGTTGTCAGTTGATTGTCGGGTGCCATTGGGAAATATTGATTTGATTGGAAATGAATTGGGGTTGCCGGGAGACTACAAAAACTCTTTGATCGCAAAATACCCAGAATTTTTCTCGGTGAAAGGGGTTAACGGTAGGGATTATCTTAACTTGGAGAATTGGGATTCTTCATTAGCAGTCACTGCCAGGGAGGAAAGATGGGTGTGTGAAAGGGAATCGAAGTTGGAAGAGGGTATAAAGCCAACAAGAACATCCAAAGACGGGAACTTTTCTGGTCCTTTTGCATTTCACGTGAGTTTCCCCGCTGGATTCAGGCCAAACAAGAGTTACCTCGAGGAAGTTGTGAGATGGCAGAAAATGGAGTTCCCATCTCCATACTTGAACGCTAGGAGATTTGACATCGCTGATCCAAAAGCTCGAAAAAGAGTGGTGGGCGTGCTTCATGAACTCCTGAGTTTGACTATGGAGAAGCGGCTCACATCCACTCAACTCGAGGCGTTCCATTCCGAATATCGGTTGCCTGCTAAACTCCTGCTTTGCTTGATCAAACAACACGGTATATTTTACATTACAAATAAAGGTGTAAAGAGTAGTGTATTCCTAAAAGAGGGTTACAATGGATCCAATTTGATTCACAAATGCCCTCTTTTGGTGTTTAGGGATAGATTCATTGCACTGATGGGTAGAAAGGACATCAATTCATTTACTAGTGTTCATCATAATATGCTGCATGAAATAAGTTAGTTGATAATACAATGGTTCCTTCTTTGCTTTTAACTCTCTTACTGAATTCTATGCTTTCTAGTTCATTATGTTTAGAATCAGAGAGTTTGATTATAAATCAATGGAGGGCTAATGAAATGTGACAAGTATTATGCAAATCTTTTGCTCTTCATACATTCAAAGGATCTCGAGAGAGCTCGAAAAAATATCCATTGCTATTACTTACTACCAATCAAGTTGGTCAGTCACATAGCTAGATTTTCAACGATCGGGTGGTAATATAGAATAAATTGCATAAAGTTTCAAAAAGATTTTTGGAAGAAGGATGGATTATAAATGTGAAATGCATCCTAAAGTAGGTAATAAGTATGTTGCCAAGAAATGAGAGGATATATAGAAGAAAATTTAAACATTTTGAAGACCTTGATGACAGTTTTTGACGGACTTTATAAAATGATGTGACTATATAAATGTCTAGCTCTAATGCATGCGGTTAGTCCCAAGAAAAGTCGACCCAAATGGTGATTTGGGCTTTGAATCTAGAGTCAAACCAGACACGCGAGGTCATTTGAGCTCGAGTGCATGACCCCAATTCAGCAAAGACTTAGTCCATATAAGTCACAATAGGCCTAGTTAGCTATCTAGCGATTTACATGGCTTGTTAACAATTATATTTGTTAGCGATGTATAAATAGCTCGCAATTTGTAATGACCAGACAACACATATTGTATTCAACACTCATAAATAATACATTTAATGTGTTACACTTCGTAAAATTACTTTAATTTTTGTTTTATTATTATTCCTGATATTAACACATTTTAATTTTAATACTATCGAAATGATAATAAACTTAAGTAATCCATTAATCATATATCACATTTATTCATCTCGATGTATATACATAAATAAGACTCAAAATTAACACTAAATATTGCAGTTATAGTTGGCGCCAAAAGGTTGAAAGACTAAACTGCTCTGAGACGCGGGAAACGCGAAGGAGGAACGGCTAATTAACGGCTACAAGGGAGTTAGGGAGGGAGGTTAACCAATTCGTTAACATTCTGCTCCCAGGTGCCGTTCCAGCTTCACGGCGTTAATTTAACCGCCGCTCACGGCTACTCATTCTTCACCACCTCCGCCTCTCGCCGTTGCTTCATCCCACCGTCCATGGCGGCCTGCGTCGCCATCTGAAGCTTGTGCTTCGCGATTTCCGAAGGAAAGTTCAGGATCGCTTTCCTTCCTCGCAGTCTGAACGCCGCCCGATCGTAGGCTTTCGCGGCGTCGATTGCGGTGTCGAACGTGCCGAGCCAAACTCTACTCCCGCGCCGCTTTGGATCTCGGATCTCCGCCGCGAACTTCCCCCACGGCCGCCGTCGGACCCCTCTGTAGTGCCTTCTCTCGCTCTTCTCGCGCACCGGACTCGAGCTCCCGAACACGATCCATTCGAATTTCTTCTTCGCAGGTACGTCAATACTCATCGACGGCTTTCTCTCTTTACGCAAACTAGCTTGAAAATTTGAATCTCGTGCTTCAAAACTAGCTTGAACATTTGAATTTCGTGCTTCAAAACTAGCTTGAAAATTTGAATCTCGTGCTTCAAAACTAGCTTGAAATTTTGAATTTCGTGCTTCCGGTGAAGTTAGGTCAATAATCTGGTTGCAATTAGTCGCTTCAAATTTGAAAATTTTGGTATCACTGTGCTCGAAACTCATACACGCAGAGCTCGAAATTGAGGATTGTGATTCAGGACGAAGAACATCAATATCACCCTCAATTTGCTCAAAACTTAGTGAACTGAATCTGGAAACCGATGAAATCGGTTCCAGTTCAAGCAAATTCCCCTCAAAATCGAAGTAATCAGTAGGAAAATCCATGGAAATATCGTCAATATTTCCATAGATAAAGTTATGATCAGAGATAGTGAGTGGAGAGCTGTAATAAGACTCTGATTGCGAGCTTGAAACTTCTGTTCCTGAGCTGTTAGCGCTGCAGCTATTGCTCAGCTCATTAGCAAGATTGCATTCTCTCTGAGTGAATTCTCCCAGAAGGTGATTCCTGATTCGTTCTAGAGTTAAAACTTCATCGAGGGTAGCCATGAATGTGCAGTGAAGCTATAGTGTATGGTATTATAATGGAGATTTTGCAGTTCTGGGTTATATGTCTGTGATGAAGGTGAAGGTGTTAAGGGTTGATGGGAGTGAGGAGAGTGGAGTTAAGCATGCATTTATAAAGGGAATATAATGTTAAGATCAATGGAAGAAATTGTCAAAAGGGTTTGCATTATTGGCAGCTTCTTGAAGGCTGACCTTATCAAGTGAATGTTCCTTTATGTTTTGAGCTAGTTTCAGTCAACCATTTGCATGACTTTGTAAAAACTTGATATGATTTAGTCTTCTTTTAAACATAACCCTTGGTAGAGCTTTTCGAACTTTTAGTCCCACGAGTATTGTGACACTAATAGAATTGTTCTACGACTTTCGAACTTTGCAAACTTGATCCATGACTATCTTTAGTACAAATGGTCCTCCCAGCTCAATTTCCGTCCATTTGTGACCGAAGAAAATAAAAAAAGTTTCCCCTTTATAGCAGGGTTGAGCCGTGAAACGGGAATTTAGCCGGACCATTTGTGCTAAAAAATAATAATAGTCGTGAACTAAGTTTGCAGGTTCAAAAATCAGATAATGGAATAGAAATTCCATAAAATTTGGTAGGAATTGAATTGAAATTCCATTTTACCAAACACTCCATTAATCCATGTTCTTATTATTTGATAGTTTATACTAAAATCACTTATTAGATATACAAACACCAGAAATATTTATCCATTATCACGAAAAACGCGGTGGGTTTAGAAATATAATATACGTATGTCTGCATTATATTCTTGTACGTTTGCATTCACATGCACAGATTGTAATTTATTATTGACTTCAAAAAGTGAAAATCTGTTTTTCTTGTGATCTGTCTTGTTGTGTGTTTCTTAGTTTAATACACTGAGTTGATGGATTTATGGAATGATTTAAGGGAGTGGGAAGACAAACAGAAAGAGACCAGCAATAAGCTCCATTTGCTTCAGTACAAATTAAAACATTCGAATTTTGCTGATTTTGTGAATCTAATTTTTTTGACCTTATGGCCACCTTTAATTTCCCCTATTATATGCACGCAACTACTGTGTTGTCTCTTCCCAGATTTGAACATTTCAACTTAGGACTAACTCAAATACTGCTTTTGGACTATTGTCTGTGATACTTTTGCTACTTGAGTCTTAATTTTCTGGGTCTGTTTTGGAATCTTATAAAGTTATTTTTAACCATTGTAAATACTTGGAAAATGCTCATAAATTATGTACCATATACGAGAAATCCTGCACTCGCTACTTGAAACTGTGCTTTTGAAGAAACCTAGCTACCTTGTAACCCTAGCCGACGAAAGAGGACGAAAGACCACAATGAGGTAAACCATCTTAGGTTGTCCTTGGTTGGGTATTATATACTCCATAACAATACTATATCTTAGGAATGACAACCACATCCTATTAAGATTCAAGAGAGTCAAGTATGTGGTCTTATCTTACTATACGTTCTAAACATTTTTTTTTTCAGCCCAAAGAATTTAAACCCTCACCATCGAAGTTTGAACATATGACCACCCATATGGAATGGTAATCGGGATTCGCGATATCATCACATTACATGATAGTTGACATTTGTATAATTGTATTCATTAGTTATGCGTGAATTGTCTAACTTCACCACATATGAAGCCATATCATTCAATTAAGATATTTCTAATTTCAAATATATGACATTTTTGGTTGTTTATTCCTTTTTGAAAAATAGAATTACGATTTTAAAAGGTATCGTGTCTAAGATAAATAGAAATGAATAGTGATATCTTTGTAAATAAAATTTATTTACAAAAATATTAAATACTACTACCTCTTTTATTTATAATATAATTGCCACAATTCTTTTTATTGCATAAAATTACCATATATTATTATTATATTTTTTTATTTTTTTTGGTGAAAATTATTATTATTATTATTATTATATTTCACTCATACTTATCCTCTTTGAAATACCATTTTTTATTTACTAGTTTTCATTTTACAAAGCCAACATATATGATAATATTTGCTTTACTCTTTCTTCCCAAACTATTATCTTCATTATTTACAAAAAAGTTGATGTCTCTATCTGAATGTACGTTTTGGATAAAATTCGTCTTGTAAGATAAATAATCGTAAAAAAAATAAATAAATAAACTTAGATTGTCTATAGCTAATCAACTCGAACCAGGAACTAATAAACATCTTTTATAAAGAATCAAACTTAAAATTAAGACGTGTAATTATCAAATCAATTATCTAACTAATTATATTACTTACTTTATCCACACATATATTATTTACTTATTACTATTTCACATTGCCGTGTAATGCACGAGTTGGCATTAATTAATAGAAAATAAGTCTTTTCGTGACCACAGGTCAATTCTTGCATAACCCACTCCCCCATTTAAACAAATAAATTTTCAATGTAGCAAGAATGATTCCAAAACCGTCTTAAAACATTATTAATTATAAGTAGGTAGGTCAGTCCAAAAGCTTTGCTGAGTCGTCATTGTTTTTCGTATGTTTGAGGAACAACGTCAATTCGAATATGAATTAGAAACTAATATACAAGTGATCATACATGGCCCGTATAATTATATTGTAATGCGACGTGAGTGGCTATTGGAATATTCAATTTGAGAATTGTTTGGTGTGTTGGGGATATGGGTTAGGGCTCAAGGAAGCCAAGGCCTGATGTTCATTTTTATGAATTCTCGTTTTGAACCAAATGTTGGTCAGAAACTCATTTTCTGACCATAACCTTCGTCTTTCGTCCAACTTTCGTTGGACAGAAATAGCGAGATTTCTAACAGTGATAGGTCATCAGAATGTCAAGCGAATATTTGTCATTCTTCCTCTCTAACTAGCACTATAACATTCATGGTGATATAGAGCTTTGTATAGTATTATAAGGGGGTTTAGCATTTTCTA